AGTTGCCGCTCGGTTAACTTCTCAAAAAGTTGTCTAAGTCCTAGTAAAAAGCCCAAAAGACGGTGTACCGAGGAGCTGCTTTCCGAAAACGCTAAGGACAAACTCAGATCTGTAGATCTTCCGAAAATCCTAAGTTTGCAGTAGATCTACTTCAAAAAATACGTGTTCACCATTTAAAAACCTATACCCTATCTCGGAGCCCGGTAGTTCAAAAACATCTAGACCTTACTTTGTCCGTATTTGGGAATAAAGACAAAACGAAGCAAAACAGAAAACAAAAAACAGCGCCGCTCTTTACTTTTTACTTCATCTACACAGGCTGAAGCGTTTCTCTGAGGAAAACGTGTTGGAAATGAGTGTGCGTCGTGAGCCAGTGCCACCCATCTTTCTCTGCATCTCATACTCAAGGGAGCTGAGTCACTTGGAGATCCCCGATATCAGTAGTCTTTTAGCTGCTGAGGAAAAAAAACGAAAGTATGAAAAGATATTCGCAGGTTTCCGGAGAATCCCCAAGTTCTCAAAAAATCTGTTTCAGAGAAATACGTGTTCATTTTCCAGAGTTCGAATTTTTTTTTTTTCAGACTTTATTTTGTCCGTATTAGAAATTCAAAAACGCCTCTTACTTCGAGACAAAAACGAAACACGTCGATATTCTAGCGCCACTTTTTTTTATAATCTATCGAGATAATTCGATTCATCCAGTACTTACCATCCGCAGTATTTCTTACCCCATTCTGCCCAAGATGGAGCTCTTTTCCGAATGAATTTATTTAGGCAATTCTCAAAATACTTACCGGGGTAGTCTTGTAGTCTTAGCATCCTTTTTAGTGTTAGTAGGCCAAGGCCTATCAATTTTACGTCGGAGGTCATCTGGTAAATACGGTGAAGACAGCATGTGATTACGGCCTTTTTCTGAGGGATAACTGAGGAGGATTTAAAATCCTGGATCGTTCGAAAGGTCAGTTCACCGTCTTCCCATATTTCCTTAGAGTTCTTTTGGACTAACTGGGTGGTTATATTCCTTCCTTTTTCCACTCTAATCTTTGTTTCCAGAAAGTCCCATTCTCCTTTTCCTTCGTCCGTTCGTTCCAGTGATAGAGCTCTGTCATAGGCAGATTTGTATCGATTGATGATACTGATTGCCTTTTCATCATCCTTCTTTCCGTCACTCCATACAAAAAGGGATACATCATCCATCAATCGTGCACCTTTTACCAGTCTCTGGTCCTTGCCTAGACTTGACAGGAACGTGTATTCATTGAAAGCGCAGAGGATACAAGCCAGGGAAGCGTTTGTACTCTTCCCCATAGGAATACCTGTTTCTTGTCTAATCAGGCGATCCGCTGCCATGATATACGTATTATTGAGTTCAAATTCGATCATTTTACGGATATCTTTAAATTCGATAGTTAACCAATTCCCATCCCCATTCTTTGGTGAGAAAGAAGTTTCCTTCCCTCTTCTTCTAATGGACAGTCTACTCTTACCTTTTTCTTCATAGTAATGTAGTATGCAGTTTAGTGCCACTATGATAGAATCATGAGGCAGACGACTGAACATTTCTTTTATATCGAATGAGGCGCAGAGTAGGTACTCATTCTTCTTCTTTTCCGTCCAATTGTTAACCTCCGTGACTTTCCTCAGTAGGATGTCCGTTGATTTCATGTTCAAATGCATACTTTTCGGCAAAACAAAGAGGAGGTGGCTCAGAGCGCGTGCTGTCCGACTGCTAGCTGTTCTCGAAGATTCTGAAAAAGACGGGCTAATCGGTCTGAACTTTGATAAATCCTTGTTTTTAAGAATTATGTAGGCTCGACCGATTTGTCCCGCGTTATCCCATTTCCCGAGCTTTAGTAGGCCTTCCTCTTTATATTTGTTCTTGCATTTGCTCAAGATTTTCACTTCGGATTTCCATACGGCACAGAAGCTTTTACTACCCGATAAGATTTCCTGCATCCCTTTCGCGTAGGTTTGGGGACACATAATCACTGATTTTGCCGGGGTTCTATCAACTGCAGTTAACACGAAATCCTTTCCCAGTGACTTGAGGTAGTTCATTGAAGTTTCGTCGAAATTACTTACGCAGGATTTTTCTTTCAGACAGTTTGTTACATCATTTCTTGTGAGTGGGGTGTCTACTCCCATTTTTAGCAACGCATCGTTTGGTTCAGTTAAAACTCTTCGTTTTCTATCCTTTAAGTCTGGAAAAACAAGATTTCTAGCATTTTTAACAAAGGAATCTAAGCGTTCCATTTCACTGACTCTGCATGTCACGTGTCCCCTAGTAGTCGGAAAGTTAGAATCTGAGCAGTTGCAGATTCCCACCGAGATCTGTGCGGCAGATCGGTGGTTATAGAGAAGGTCAGAAACTGATCGGTTTTTTCGCCAGACAGTTCTGAGCTTCTTACACATGAAAACAACTTCAGTTAGTGATAAACAGTTCATCAGATGATATGTAATTACCCTTCTAATAACTCTCTTGTTTAAACCATCGTCATATATGACCGAGACACAGTGCTTCCTACATGTATTAAATCCAAATTTATTCCAAAGTTCACCCCCAAGTATATCCTTCATATTATTTTGAGAAATTTTATTAGAAAAAAAATCTGCTGCAAGAAAAAGTTCGAGTAATTCCTGTAATGAAGATTTGTACAATTTCTTTTTCGCCCAAGGGTTCTTTAAAAGCTTGTACAAATTTCCTTTCAGTTCTCTGTTTCTTTTTGATAAGGTCCCACCCTTCAATTGATGGAGAGTAAAATTTCCTTCCTCTTCCAATTTGTATTTTAGCTCAGTTAATAGGGTGGTTTTCCTTCGTTAGAGAGTTTACTCAGTCCGATTTCTTGTGTTACTACTTTCCATTCAGGTACCCAAATCCTTCCTCCTGACGAATGTATTAACCCATCACCTTTTGATGTTGTTGAGCATATATTAATCAGATTTACTGATTCTAAGTTACCTGTTTTAAAAATAATTGGCCTAGAATCTTCCTGATCGCATTCACATCTAGGTTTTTTACGTTCCTTTCTACCTTTTCGATTTTTCTTCCCCGATGATTTCTTATGGTAAGTGAAATTTAACTTAGGACACCATCTTTTAATAAGGGTCTTTTCGACACTTTGCAGGTCTTGGGTAGGAACAAAACTTACAGGGAGAGCTACGTAATTTTTATACCCCCAGTTTCTTAGCCAGTTATATAGTTTTGAATTATTAGTAGATTAGTTATAGTTAGTACGGTATATGTGTTCGTTCCATCTCTCAAATATAGAGCGTGAAGTTTGTCCTATATAGGACGCGTGGCAGCTAGGATCTAGTAGTACATAAACACAAGAGGAGGGATTATCCCATTTTTTCGGATGATTCTCAATGAGATAGGTCCAGTAATTGAGGAATTTTTCACCCCATTTTAGCTCTCCTCTATTAACTAGGATTACAATACATAATCTCAGTACTTTTTCTATTTCGTTTCTAACAATATTGATTCCGGCTATGCTAATTCCGGCTAGCTGTCGGCGCAAATTGAGGTAGAACCGTAGATATTCCCAAATGTCAATCCTCGGACGGATCCAGGTGTCCGCTGCGATCTGCAGGTGTTCTTGGTACACGCGATGCGGTTGCAGGTTGTTCTCTGATCACAATTCCTCCCTGACGTGGTGTACGTGGTGGCTTGTAAGTATTCAAGACTTGAAGTTCGACTAGTTCATCGACTGCCTCAGGGCGCCCTCTGTAGCAAACTCCAGCCTCCTTACACATTTATTGAATGGTAGGAACGCTCTTCTTGTTCAGGAACTTCCTGATCTGCTTCTTGTAGGCTGCTGTCGTCTTACTATAAACGTCCACAGGAGCACCTTTCCATAAAGTGGATTCATACCCAGTTCCTTCTTTGCGCTGTCTTCCTCTTCCTCTCGTAGGTTGGTTTCCCGTTGGATCTTCATGGTCCTCCGCCAGTCGTGCTGGTGGTTCCTCAGTACCATTGGATCTGCCTATCTTGGCTGGTGTACCCGCTGGGCTTACTTGTCCTCCTGATGTCTGGCCTGGCTGTCTTTTCCGCTTTTCTAGTCTTTCATCGTAGATCTCCTCCTCCTCATCTTCTTCCTCTGAGTCTGATGGTGGAGTCTCTTGTGCGGTTTGTTTCGCCTTCACTACTCTCTCCGTTATCAGTACTCCTTTAAGATGATTCTTTAGTCTTTTTTCAAATTCTTCCTCCAACTTTTCCTTCTGTTTAGCTAACAGTTTCTCGAATTCTCAATTCCTCTTCGCCTCTTTCAACTCCTTCGCCTTCTTCTTCTCGAGTGCTAGTCTGTTCGCTTCCTCCTTAGCCGCTCCTCGTCTGCTTTCTTCTTTTTCTCTTCTGCTTTCTCCTTCCTCTGTTTTTCTTCCTCCTCCTTTTCTATTTGCTTTAGTGCGAAGATTGCCAGGCTCTTAATCGAGTCTTCCACCTCCTTGCTAAGGATTGCCGGCTTCGCAACTTCAAACGAACTGCGGAATGCTTCGTTGTTTTGTGGCCCTTGGTTTGTCGCTTGTTGCCCTTGGTAGTTTGCCTACTGCCCTTGGTAGCTTGGTTGTTGCCCTTGATTGTTCTAGCGTGGTAGATAACACTCTCGTGCGATGTGCCCGATTTGTCCGCAATTGTAGCACTTAGGTCCTCTTCGCTGCCAACTGCCTCCTCCGTTATTCCATCCTCCTCCGTTGTTCCATCCTCCCCCATTCCCATTGTTACTCCAGTTCCCTCCTCCATTGTTCTGATTACCTCCATTAGCGTTATTCCATCCTCCCGTATTTCCGCCATTCCCATTGTTCCATCCTCCTCCTCCGTTTCCGTTATTCCATCCTCCTCCATTGTTGCCATTCCATCCTCCTTGGTTGCCTTGTCCGCCATTCCAACCTCCCCCTCCTCCTTGGGGAGGGCCTTGCGGTCCAGTTCCAAATCCAAAACCGTTGTTTCCTCCGTTCATCTCTTTGTTGTTGTCTAGATATATTGACGTTGATCGGATTCTAAACTAATCAGTAAAACCCAAGCTATCTGTAGCTATGGCTACAGGGCCACCGAACCAGGTGAGTCTCCTAGTCAGTTGCCGCTGTCTTTATCTATTGGAGAAGATAAGCGATAGGAAGGATTACAGCGATGCCGAAATCATTCGTACGCAGAAAATACAAGTCTTCTGCAAAAGCAAAGCATGTGTAACTCGGAAAACTCGGAATCAACTCATCGATAAATGGGAAATAGTACCATGAGTAGTCACCATAGCCCAACAAAACCAGCTATGGTGTGCGAACTTCCGCCCGCATGGGCGGCAGTTTCTGACGTCCCTCGACCGGTTTCAGCTGGAGCCAGAATCCAGCTTCGTCAGGAGGGGAAGAAAACTCCGAGGTAAGTTGAAAGTAAGTCCTAGAGTTTAAATACTAAAGAAACAAACCAGTTGCCGCTCGGTTAACTTCTCAAAAAGTTGTCTAAGTCCTAGTAAAAAGCCCAAAAGACGGTGTACCGAGGAGCTGCTTTCCGAAAACGCTAAAGACAGACTCAGATCTGTAGATCTTCCGAAAATCCTAAGTTTGCAGTAGATCTACTTCAAAAAATATCTGTTCACCATGTAAAAACCTATACCCGAAAGTTTCAAAAGCGTAGGTGGCAACGCGGAAACACTGCGAGAAGGGGGCTGGAGGTAGCGCTTGAGACGGTGCGTTAGCACTGGAGGCGCCGGCGGGCGTAGAGCCGCGGGAGGAAACCGGTCCGTGTCGCAAGACACGGGCCGGCTAAGCCATCGCGTCGGAGAAAAGGGAGCTGCGTCGTTTTCGTCAATTCCAAGGTCCATGGTTCTAATGAAGGTGGGGTTTTTGACTAGGTCCAGAGGGGAAAGGAGCTGTCTCTGACAGCGTGTGGGGGAGAAGACGCGGTGGTACCCCGAGGTCAGTTACCACCGATGCCGAGTTGTCCATACGCAGATCTCGACTGCCTGAAGAGGGGAGAGGAGTGTATGGCTTGACGTCATGGGCTGAAGATCTCAGCCATGAGGAAACAGAAGTATACTTTTCTGAACCTTGGTGACCCCAGTATCGCCCCTGCTACGTATACCAGCGTGTTAGCTGCGGTGCAGTTTTCGAACTATGCGGAAGCATAGTGGTAGAGATAACGTACCTTCAATGACGTTCGGTCAACGACACGACCGACTGTGGAGGTTACTACCGATTTATCGTCGTTATTCTACACAGAGAAGGAGGTTTGGTGCGGTTGCTGTTGGTAAGCATACTTCACGATGTTCCCAAAGATATTTCTGATTTTCTCTGTGGGAATTATGTAACGTAGGAATATTTATTGATGCCTCCGATATATGTCTATTAATATTATGCATGGACAGGGCAGTAGGTATTTAACTACACGCTTTTGTTTTAGTGTTTGGTTTTTATTTTTGACCTGGTCCCTTGCAAGTGCTATCGCCATGACATCTTCCTCCATCCTCCACAATCCGGAGAAGTTGTCTTAATCTCGACACCTCCATCCGAGGCAGATAATGCTAGAATTCAGTAATATCTAGAAGCCTGCTTCAGGGAGGGTAGCCACATACGTGGCATCGTCTAAGCAAATTGCGACCTGGATGCTTAGGAAAAAAGAGGACAGGGTCGAGTTAGATAAAAAAGTATGCAAGCTTTCCTTCCGACCTTGGATGTCGGAAAAACAACTGGCTGAGTGGCGCGAAGCCATGAAACAAAGGTATTTTTGGGTCAGATGTCTGGAAGTCCCCGTTTCTACATTGGGGCCGTTGAGAGGGGCAGTGGAGGATTCATTTGGGCTGGTTCTCAAGGAGCATCCAACGTGTAAGGACCTTCTCACCCCTGATCTGCGTGACATTCGTTTTGACCTGGTCCCTACAGCCAAACTTAGGTATAAGAAACGTTTGATACTGAACCTACGGGATCAGGGCCGAATGGAGATTGGCGTCCTGTGCTTCCACCCCATGGTGTTCGGTCTGCCGTTGTCATTTTCACAAAGACACCGATGATTCATGCCCAAGGAAAGGTAAGTCGGGACAGGGAAAAGTGAAAGAGATGGAAAGGGAGAAAGAGGGGCAAGGCGGAGTGAAGGAGGGAAGGGAAGAAACAAATGGGAAACCGAAAATGGAAAAAGGGAAGAAGGGCAAGAAAAAGAAGGGTGGGAAAGAGCGCAAAAAAGGAGAAATTCCAGTGGAGAAATCCACGGGAAATAATGATCCGGGTACAAAGGATCAACAAAAGGGCAACATGGAGAAATCTACTCAGAAGGAGGCGGAGAAGGCGATGGATGTGGATGAAAGAGAGAAGGAGAATCGCAGTAGACCTCCCGGCTCGAAGAAGGGCAAGGAGGGACAAAAGGACGGAGATGGTACAAACGGATCCACAGCCTTACTGCCAAAGGAAGGAGAGGAGGAGCAGAAGGAGGGGGAAGATAATGACGAGCAGAGGAAAGGTAAAGGGAAAGGGAAGAAAGGTTTGAAGTTAAACGGGAAGTGGAGAATTAAAAAAGGAAAAGAACAGCCCGTTAATTTCGATTTGCTCACTCCTCAACGAATTTTTAAACATAGTCCAGCGGTTTCAGTCATAGACAAGGCTGTTCAGTCTGATTCTCCTTTTACCTTTGGAGGAGAAACACAGGAAAAGGTCAAGGAAAAAGCAATTGAAGAAGCTGGCCGAGCCCCAGACCCAGTTCTGGAGAAGGATAAGGATGTCTGTATGGACGTTCTTTCTGATGAGGTAGAGACAGACAGGGAAGATGAGCTGTCTCGACATCACCAGGATATCCACGAACACGGTGGCTCGGAAAAACTCAACTATCTTGAATTCGCTGTCCCAAGCTTGTTTCAGGAAGGCCAAATTCTTTTCAAGAGGGTCCGTATGAACAACGGGGTTGCTTTTCCCATGGGGGACTACCACACCCAAGAAAACCAAGCGGCTCAAGAGGACCACCCACAAAACCTGGAGGTTCCCAGAAAGCGGGCACACCAGGGGCGGTCAACTAAAAAGTCCTTGATACAAGCTGGCCTAATGGCCACGTTGAGGAAAGCGGACAGAGAAAAGGGACACATATATGAATATGTAGTTCCTTTGATCGTCGCTGACTCCCCACAAGGCCTGATGGTGTTGACCGAACGAACAGAACAAAAATGCTTGGTTATTCCTTCGATAGGAGTAGCATCAGCTGTGTCGGATGAGCAGGCTATTGAAATGGCAATGTCTCACGTCCTCCACGAGCAGGGATCGTGTACCCTGTTATCTGAGCCTCAGAGAAGAAGACACATTGCAACGAAACCAGATGGGAAAAAAACCCTTCTGCACATCTATTTTTTAAGCCTACAGTCAATCTCAGAGGCATTCGCCAAACAATGTACAGAAAGAATGTTGTGGTTCCCATTACAGGAATTTCTCCTGCAGAAATGAGAATCACTGTCGAACATTCGTTTAACCCAGGATCTGTCAGCAAAAGAAATTGCAAATTGGATTTCTATCTCTGACGCAGGGTCCACTTTGGCGAAGCCCAGCTTTCGGATCATGGTGAGCTCTATGAGTGGGGTGAACAATGGACTCTCAGAAACAGATAACCGCATCCAAGGGTCTAGCGGCAGTCTCCAGCCCAATGGTTCTACCCAATAGGGTACGACTTGCAAGCTGGAATGTTAAAGGGCTTGGTGATACGTCTAATCTGTTTAAGAAAGCGCGCTTATTAGAATGGTTCAACTCTGAGAATGTCCATATTCTGTGTTTGCAAGAAACAAAACTTAACAACATCAAAATTCAAGAAGCCCGCAATTGGTGTGCTGACCCTCAATCTTGGGCCCCGGCTGATGGCACAAGAGGGGGGGTGACAATTTTGCTACATAAAGATTTGGATTGTCAAATTCTCGACCACTACGAAGACCCAGGGGGGAAATGGGCGTGGGTAATACTCGGGATCGATAATGAAGAGTGGGGCATTATGACAGTATATGCCCCCTCAGAATACATGGAACGAACTGAGTTTTTTTCTAAGCTCCCTGCGGTAGTCCCTGATACAGAAAATTTAGCTATATTGGGGGACTGGAACACCACCCTTAACCCGGGCCTGGACGCTCCGGTAGCTACCCCTCTCAGACAGGACAGTTTGCTGTTGCTCTCCTTTTTGGATTCTCAGAGTTTAACTGACACATATAGATATATGAACTCGGAAGAGCACGGATATACTTGGTATGGCCCTAAGCCGGACAAAAAGACCCCTCGACCTAAACGGCGGCTAGACTTTGTGGCAGCAAGAGGGTCATTGTGGGATCGTTGCATAACAGCGGATTATGCTATAGCCTCACTATCTGATCACTATCCGGTACTGATCGATGTAATCTCTAATGATCTGGTCCAATCTTCTAGACCTCCATTTCGCCTAAACATCAATAATCTAAAAGATAAGGGAATCCCGAAGTGGATAACCTCTCAAATGAAGGGATGGCAAAAAGCCAAGGACCTCTTTATTACTCAGGACGCATGGGCAGAGTTGGGGGTGGGTATTATTAGAAAGACCCTCATCGTTTTTTCACGTATGAAAGCTGCGTCCCGAAATTGGAAAGAAGTATGTAACAAACGATTAATTGAAGAGGCGGAGGCTAAAATGGGCAAAGATCCTTTTTCGGATTACTTTTGGTCTGAGAAAAGGACCAAGGCTTTGGCAGCACTAGAAGCCTTGGAAGTCCAAAAGCAGGCGGAGTGGTTGGAATGGTTGAAACTTCTGGGCATTATTGGATATGATAAAATGACCAAACTTACCTTCCATTCGCTGATACTGAGACAGGCCAAACCGGCCATACACGAGCTTGTGCACCCCTTCGATGTGCATAGCCCTATAACTTCAGACCCTTCAAAACTTTGTTCCTACGCTCTTTCTTATTTTCGTGACATTGTCTCCACCAGGATAATTTTTGATGAATGCGATACTGATTTGTCCCACACTTCTACGTTCTGGAATAGATCACAAAGATG